TCAATTATTTTCAAAAATTTCAAGTTTGTATTTTCTTTAGACATCTTTATATATTCTACTTATTTTTGAGACTCTTTTTCTTTTTCATTTGTTTTTGATTTACTTTCTGTAATTTTAGTTGTATATAATTTAGTAATAAATTCATTAAAATTTTTTAATGCTTCATTTCTTTCTTTTATAGTCTTTATCTCATTTAACCACATTCCTTGATCTGTTCCTTCTAGTACAACTCCAAACTTTTTAATTTGAAGAGATTTTGAAAAATTTTTATTGATTTGATCTATTTGTTGTCGTAGATATGTGCCAAAATATTTGTCTTTATTGATTTGTGTTTCTGTTGGACATTTTTCTTTTAATTCTTCTTTAACTTTTTCATAAAATATACTAAGAATACAACTGATATAAGGCTTATTATTACCAATAACAATTGCGTTTTTTACTACAGGTATTGTTCTAAGTTGCTCTTCTATTAGTTTGAAGGGAACTTGTTCACCATTACTTGTATAAATAAATGAACTATTTTCTTCAATAAGCTTCACAAATGCGGAAGAAGAGTCTTTAATTTTACATACCTTTGCCTTGAATTTGGTATCAAATCCATATTCTCCTATTTCACCATCAGAATATCCTCCTGCAACAAGAGCCCCTCCAATAACTAATTTAGACCTCCCTTTAAAAAGAATATTCGTTCCTTTTAATGGTCTTCCAACAGTTTCAATCTGTAAATTTTTTTCTCTATTTAAACAACAAAATCCTGTTGTTTCTGCAAACGACAATCCACAAAACACTTCTATTCCATTTCCCATTATTTCTTTTATTGTCTCTGTTTCAATTAAACCAGAACATAAAAAGTATTTTGTTGTAACTAAACCAAGTTGTGACTTTACTTTGTCAAATAATAATTTCTTTGATATTCCAAATCCAACTGGTTTTGATACATTAGATTCTTTATTGATAATTCCCTTAACTCCTACTTGTTTCATTTTCTTTATAATCATAGAATTGCCACGAATTTCTTTTGCTCTGAACAATAACTTCTCATAAAATCGAGGAACACCAAAAACAAGAGTTGGTTTAAATTTTTTTGCTATTTCCACAAAATGTTTTAACGTCTGTTGGTAAACAGATTTTGATGGAATGTATATTTGATATCCAAATAACATAGGTAAATATAATGAGAATATACGTTCAAGATAGTAAGATTGATGATGACATGCAACATATCTAATAGAGTTATTTAATTGAAATGAATTTTTGATAGCATTACATTCTGAAATAATATTTCCATTAGTCCATATTACTCCATGAATTCCTTTATTACCTTCTACAAAAACTATTTCAACAATATCAGTTGGATGAGTCTCTTTTTCAATACTTGCAATAATACTATCATTTATTCTTTGTCCAGAAGATTTAAAATGGTCATATGAAATAAATTCATTGTCAGTACTTATTCCATCTATTAACACGCTTTGAATTTTATTTGAACGAATAACCTCAATAACAATATCTTTATAATTACTATCTGTAACAATCTGTACCACATTAGATTGTTTTATTATGTCAGCTATTTTATTAATTGGTGTTTTAGGGTTAATATATATTTGATACATTCCTGCTAGTACACACCCTATTCCCATTGCATATGACTTCCAACTATTATTTGTTATGAACAAGACACCACAACCCTTTGACTTTAGTTCAACATATGCACGAGACATTATTTTAATTTCATTAGAAAATTTTTTAAAACTAATACGAGGCTGTGCCTCGTTCTCTTGATAATACATCATTCCATCTAGTGATGTTAATCCGTTGTAGAGTTGTTGAATTGTACTTCTACCATCTTCATAAGCCCCATCATACTTTTGTAATCTTGTTAAATCAATTTTATTAATACCCTTAAATGGTGTAATTACTTTATTATCTTTTTCACTCTCTTTTGTTCCTTCACTTTCAATTTGGGTAGGAGGTTCACCAACAATACCTTCTTCTTTTTTAACACTTTTTGAAAGTTCATCAGATGTCTCAGTCTCTTCCGTTTCAATAAATTTAGGTTCTTCTTCATTAGAGGTAGTTTGTATAAAAGACATAATTAATTGTTGACTAGTTCTTTAAAAAAGTACAAGAATAATAATGAAAATGTTGTAGTTTATTTAACTTTTTCTTTGTTTTTTTTTATTTTTCATTTATAAGCAAAAAATACATAAAAAGAATTAATGGGAATAACACACAAAAAATTAAATGAATCAGAAACAATAAAACAACAAAAAACCCTATTATCTGAAAATAGAACTTAATAATTGGTTTGTTCAGTCCATGGGAAGAAGAACATTGAGTCAAAGAAAAGGAAGAGGGTCTATTTTCAAATCAAGAAGTCATCATAAGTTGGGTGTTGCTCAACATCGTGCTATTGATTTCTTTGAAAGACATTCAACAGTTAGAGGATTAGTTAAATCAATTGAACATGACCCAGGAAGAGGAGCTCCTCTTGCTAGAGTTGTTTTCAGAAATCCAAGACAATATGGACTTGATAAAGAATTATTCATTTGTGCTGAAGGATTATATTCAGGACAATACATTTATTGTGGAAGTAAAGCCTCCCTTCATATTGGAAATGTCCTTCCAATTGGACAATGCCCAGAAGGTACTGTTGTTTGTAATGTTGAATCTAAACCAGGAGACAGAGGAATTATTGCAAGAGCATCTGGAAATTATGCTACTGTCATTTCACATAATGCTGATAATGAAACTACTCGTATTAGACTTCCATCTGGAGCCAAAAAGACATTAAAATCAAATTGTAGAGCTATGGTTGGTATTATTGCAGGTGGAGGAAGAACTGAAAAACCAATTCTTAAGGCTGGTGTTGCTTATCGTATGTATAAGGCTAAAAGAACTACATGGCCAAGAGTTAGAGGTGTTGCTATGAATCCAGTTGACCATCCACATGGAGGAGGAAACCATCAACACGTTGGACATCCAACTACCCTTAAGAGATCATCTCCACCAGGACAAAAAGCTGGTAAAGTTGCTGCTAGAAGAACAGGTCTTATTAGAGGAGGTAATAAAGAAGGAGCTGCTGATAATTAAATCAATTTGACTTATTTTTTAAATCAAATACTTTTTATTATATTTTCTTATGATAAACTAAAACATTCATTTACTAAAAAATGAAATAGGGTTTTGTAAAATATTAATATTTAAATCATCTTAACTAAAAAATTAAATATCTTACCCATTTCATGGATTACTTCTTTTATTAAGAAATAATTTTTTTCTCAATGGGAAGAATAATGAATTTTCAAGTAACATAGTTATTCATTAATAATTATGTGTTCAAAACTTTCAATATTTTAATTAAATTTATGTAAAATTTATATTGTATTTAATTTAAATTAGTTTTAAATGGTTCAATTATTCCTTTTAAATAAATAATTTTATTAAATTTATTTGTTTATTTTTTGAAATAATGTATATATATTGTTTATTAAAAGGTTAAATATTAATACAGTTAAAATTTCTTTATAAGAAAAAAGATAGTTCTTTTATTTTATTATAACACGTTAAGTTATCATAAATTTAAATTAAATGTAATAAGTATATTAAAGACTATATTCAAAAAGAAGCAGTTAATAAATTAACTTATAAAACATTACACAAAATAATAAAAACAAGAATAAAAAGAAATAAACAAAAATTATTTTTATAATAAATAAGAGAAAAATTAACAAAAAAAAAAAGATTGAAATAAGAAAGAAGAATAAAATACACATTATTTTCTAAAAGTATTTTTTGTTTAATTCCTTAAATAAAGAAGGAAAAATAAAACAAACTTCATTTGTTAAAAAAACTCTATTTAATTGAAATATAATTCAAGAAATGAAGTTAAAAGATTCATTTGAAATAATTTAAACAAGAAATTTCAAGTGTTATATATTTTTTTTAATTTAATGAATTTCATATTAATATAAAAGTTAAGAAATATAAAATGACATTACATTTATTTACAAAGTCATTTCAAACATTAAAGTATTTGTAAAGTCATTCGTTTCATTAGATTGAATATTTTGAGATGTATTCATTTCAACTTCATAATCATTAAGTTTATAGGAAAATAAAAAAGAATTCATTCCATTGTTTTCTTGTAAATAAGGACATTCTTCTTCTTGACTATCATTTTTATCAATTTCTTTTACTGACAAATCAAAGAACTTAGACCTTTTCAGTGGTGATGGTCTATTCATTCTTGAAGTTCAAGCATACCCTTGTTTTTATATCAAATAGAAGCATCGACCAATATTTAATTGTATTAATTCACATTTTATAACTTATGGTTTACGTTTTTCGATTTGTTTTTTATTATTTTTCTTATGACTTAAAATATTATGTTCAAATTATAAATTTTCTTGTAGACGTATTCTTTTCTCACCTAAAAGAATCTAAAATCATTAACTTTGTTTTTTTTGTTTTTATTCGTCGGAGATTTTAAAATAGAATTTTCCTTCATCTAAGAAACTATTTCTTTACTTTCTTTTTTTATTTTTCCTATTATTATATTATTCATGTTTTACCTAAATTTTTCTTCATTCACTTAACTAACAACTTCTCTTTATTTCTTCAAAATTCTTTATTATTTCCATAAAAATTACAACATATTTCAATAAATAAGTCTTATATTTGTCTTTTATTAGTTCTTTGTTATTAATAACGATATTAAATAATGTTATATAAAACCAAATAAAAAATATTAGAGTTTACTTTATTTAATAAAAAAGATTGAAAAAAAATGAAAAACTCGAAAAAATAAGAAAGGAAAAAGCACAAAAACTAAAAAAAAAGCGATTTTACCAAAAAAGGGAATTTGAAGGAAGTTTCACTTAAAATTAATAAGGAACAGAGATGAAAATTACTATAAACCATAAAATTTAGAAATTTTTTCTATCAAAAAATAGGTATTAAATAAATATTTCAAATAGTTTTTCTTTAAAAACATCAAAATGAAAATAAAAGAAGAAGAAAAAATTTTAATTGATATCTATAAAGTATTAAATATGTCTACTCTTGTAAGAAGAAAATTAATCAGAAGTAATTTATATACTAGCTTTAACCAATCACCACAAGAAGTTAAAATAATAAAGCAAAAAACTTTTCTTCTTCCACAAAAAGTTGATGATAAGCTTACTATTGTTTTTGATTTAGATGAAACACTTATTCATACTCATGTAACTTCACAAAATCTTAGTGATGATTTAATTACAATAGAGTTTCAAGGAAAACAATATTTTGTTTCAGTACGTCCTGGTGCTCGAGAATTATTAAAAAGCCTGGCAGGGAAATATGAATTAATATTATTTACTGCATCAACTGAAGGTTATGCAACTCAGATAATCAATAATTTAGAAAGAGATGGACAAATATTTGATTATAAACTGTATTGTCATAATTGTAAAGAAAAATTTGGACAACTCTTTAAAGACGTTCACAAATTAGGAAGAGACCTTGATAGAGTTTTAATATTTGATGACAGTACTATTGTTTGGACAACATCTGAGAATTTATTTGTTTGTAAACGTTATGAAGGAGGGAATGAAGATAATGAAATTGAAACAATAAAAAAGGTTATTGAAGAATTTAAACGAACAAGGAGTTCTCAAAGTGTTGTCAGGTTTATTTTATAATCTTCTTTGGATTATAAAACCTGTATTATATTATATTTTCTTTTTATTGTTTTGTTTCATTTTATTTTTATTTTGGGTTATATTAAAAAAGAAAAAACAATAAAAACAACAGTAGTTTTTTCTTTGAATTAATTTTCTTCTTATTTTTTTCTAATCATTTGATAAAAATTGGAAATAAATAAGAAGATCAATTTTTTAATTTCGTTTGAATTTGGTAATAATAATTTTGATACATTTTTTATTCTTTTTTTTTTTACTTAGTTCCTTTTTTTATTTAAGAACAATGTTATAATATTTTAGATTGAATAAAACATCTTTTTTGGTTTTATTTATTATAAAATCTATAATTTATATAAACTGGTGAAAATTAAAAGATTTTAATAAAAATTAGAGAAATAATGTAATTATTATTTATTCATACATTAGTTATTTTAATTGAGTTGAACTTTCTCTTTTTCAAAGAAAATATATACTAAGTATTCTTAATATTCTTGAAAATATTCAAACAAAAGAACTAACTTTGTATTTTAATTTACATTTTTAAAGTAATTAATTTCTAATTAATATTATTTATGTACATTACTTCTATTTAATGCATAGCTTATCTTAATACTTTAAAATGGTTTAAAGAATAAAAGTAATTAATATAACTAAATAATGCTAATAAAAATCTTTTAAAATAAAAATTAGATTTATTTAAACATTGATAATAACTTAAAATAAATGATTTATGTTTTAGTTTATATTAGAAAGAATAAGAATATTTGAAAAGATTTCTTAATTGAAAATATAAAGAGTTAAATAATTTAAAAATGATAAATATTTCAAATTAACTAAAATAATTTGTTTTATGACTATTAATCTATGAAATGATAATATTTAAATTATTTAAATAAAATGAACAATGAGTGAATAAAAATTCAATAATTATTCTGTTTTATTTGTTTAATTTAAGTTACTGAGATATTAAGTTGCAATTAACTTCTTCAAATTTAGGAATTATTGGTTGGACTACTTGTGTTAAATGGTCTAAATTAAAGTTCATAGTAGGTGGTTGCATTCCTGCTTTAATAACTGTGTCATCATCTGTTTTATATAACTTAATAAGAGTTTCAGAGAAGAACCTCCTACCATCAGAATCTATTACTACAACACTAATAAAATATTCAGTAGAAAATAATCCACCAATATTATTATATGATGGAGTTAATGGAACTCCACGTAATGGAATTCTAATTGGAATTTTTTCACCTTTAATTGGTGCACCATCCATTACTTCAAATCGTTTAACAATAGAAACACTTTTTTCAGTATTTCCATTCCAACATTCTTTTCTTACAAGATGAATCTCTATTCCACTTAATACAATTTTAATATTTCGTAATATAATATCTCCTAAAATTAAATCACCTACAGTTTTATAATTTGATTTTCTTAAATGAAGAGAACATTGAATAATTCTATCAACTCTAACTTCACAATTTATTGATGGGCTTAATGGAATTTTTTCAATAGGAAGAGAAACATAAATTTCTTTTTCAAAGTATGGACGTGGAGGATATTTAGTATTAATTTGTATTCTAAGAAAGTATTGCAATTTAATTGAATCTCCAATAAATGTCTCATAGTTTTTAAAGGGTTGCTCAAAAATAAATGGAATTAATGTTTTTTCTTGGAAAATAATTCCTCCTCTTGAAGGTTCTATATTTTCTTCATAGAATTGATAAGTTTTATTAAGTGGTGATATTTCTATATTGTTATTCATTTATTATTGCCTATTTAATGATAAAGTAATAATAGTGGTAATAAATATATCACAAACTAATTAATCCAACTAATGAAATAACAATTCCCTGGTGTTGAATTTGTTTTGAAGGGTCTCTTAGTGTTATTAAAACTTTTCCTTTTAAATCATCACCCCTACTATAAACTAACAAGGATGTTTTAATGTTATTTCTCATAACATTGATTTTCTTTCTTTCATAATCATTTTCAAATAAAAAATCAAATTCAGCATTCCCAGAAAAGAAATAATCCTATCATGTCAATGTCAATTGTTCTTTCTAGACTCATTAAAATCACTATCTTTTGGATCTTAACAAACCATTTTAGTTTCTTCTATTTTCAGTTCTTTTTTTTTTAATCATCTATAAAAAACATTTTTGTTTTGATTTTTATTATATTTTTTGTTTTATGAATGACTATTAAATGAAAGAAAAAATGAAAAACAATAAAAGTTAAATGTCATTATCTCCATATCCAAACGTCATGTTACAAATAGCTGAAAAAGATATTTCTTTAATTCAAAAGTATATCAAAATCCCTTCTTACCAAGATCTGTCTTTCTTGAATAATGGAATATATTCAATTCAATCAATTCACTGTGCTTTTTTTATTGATTGTTCATTAAGTGCAAAGAGATATCATCATGAAATGCTCCAACATATATATAGGATAGTAAGTCCTCCAGTTCTTACATCAAATCATATTATCCATGCATTTTATATTCAACCAACAGATAATAAAATTCCAATAGTCTATCGTGTCTATCAAAATGTTCAACAATTTATTTATGAATTACAGAGAATCAAATACTATGACATTCCATCATTGCCATCATTTACTGAGTTAGTAAAGGTTATTGTTAATTGTATATCTGAAATATTTTATTCTTCACCAGCATGTGTTCATTTATTAATCTTTTATGAAGATTGTATCTCTTCTTCTGACATTAGAACTTTATTAACTTTACTTGAAGTTTGTGGGAAACAAGGAGTTACATTCTTATTTACAATTACTTCATATCATCAATCAATTGAATATGCTGATTTCTTCTTGAATGGATTAATTCAATTACAAAGTACAATTTCTATAACAAGTACTGATGAGTATGGTGTAACAACAACTAAAACAGAATGCGTTAATCCATTTATTCCTATATCATTTAGACCACCATTATTAACTAAACAAGATTTATCTCTTATTCCAATAGATGTATTACACCTTTATCCAATAGACTTAGAAGAGACAGAAACTATGGAAGGACTTATTGTTAGTATTGAACCAAAATATTTTTTAAATGACCAGTGTTTTGAATTTTATTCAAGACCATTATTGTATCGTGTACAACCAACAGTATTAAGTAAAAACAAATATCCATTTGCTCGTGGTGGTATTAGAAATGCATATCATGGAATTAATAAATTAACCAAAACAAAGATAGTACTTAAAGATTTCATTGAACCCACATTTGCTTCATTAACTAAATATCTCCATTCTCTTGAATTAAATTGTGCAGTTGAAGAATTAGCATCTGAGTTTAATCAAATTAATACCTCTTTTAAAAGAATCAAGTTTATTCCAACATATTTATTTGTTGAGTGTGACCAACATCTTATTGGAAAACCAGTTTTAAGTTATGAGGAATTAATGATGGTTTGTAAAAAACAAATATATTTTGTTGAACCAGAATTAAATGGTGAATTTATTAAATTTAACGATAATAATTCTTGGGTAAATTCTGAAATGTATAGTGCTACAGCTCAAGCTTTTTCTCATTGGACATACTTCAGAACTGCTAAAAGATTAATTGTTGTTGATTTACAGGGAGTAATTAACAAAGAAAAGAGTGAATACATATTAACTGATCCAGCAGTTCACCATGAATCACAATCAAAATACTTTTTTTCATCAACTAATCTTGGACAAAATGGAATCGCTCATTTCTTTGAGTCTCACCAATGTAACGCAGTTTGTAAACAGTTAAATATAGGAAAGTATATACCAGGTCATGATAAGAATAGTGATCCAATTTACTCTGAGTGTGTTACTATGTTCCCAAAAGTATTAAAATAATTTTTTTCTTATTCAGATATTTTTATGATTTATATAACATTTTTAAGAAAAGAAAAATCAAAACGATCGGATAAATTCAAACTCTCAAGATAAGAATATTTCACTGAATAGATTGTTCCAAATTATTCCTTACTAATAGTGCTTCATTCTATTTAATAGATCTAAAAAGAAACCTTTTATATTAACAAATTATGTTTATATTGTTAAGTTTAATTGCTTTATGTTATGCTGAACAATGTGTCCATGACGAATTTGAACTATGTACAAGTAATAATTGTAGAGTTACTTGGGACTTTGTTCTTTTAGTTACAACTTGGCCAGGAGAGTTTTGTAAAACTAAATGTTGTGATATGCCAACACGTCTTGGTCAAATGACAGATGGATTTACAATGCACGGATGGTGGCCATCATTTTCTTCAGGATCTATGCCAGCTTGTTGCAAATATGCTACAAGTCGTGCTGAAGTTCAAAAAGTAATTGAATCTGATCCAGCTTTATTAGATGATATTGCATTCTACTGGCCATCTCTTTCACGATGTCATTTTATTGAATATGAATATGATAAGCATGGAGTTTGTTTAACTGATGTATATACTGGAGAGAATGGAGCTAAAGACTATGTTAATGCTGCAATTAAATTAATTAAACAAGCTGATGCATGGAATGTATTTAAGAGTGCTGGTGCTGTTGCTGATGGTAAAACTAAAATTAGTAAAAAAGTACTTCTTAATGCTCTTGCAAAGAAAATAGGAGTTGAGAATGCTGCATATTTTAGATGTTCATCAAACTCTGTTTCTGAGTTAAGATATTGCACAACTGTTCTTGTATCAGATAAAGCAAATCCAATGTTCCAACGATGTACTGATAAAGTATTAAGAAAGGATAATTGTGGTGATGAAATTACATTTGCTCCACAATTACAATTGACACCAACTGGTTGTGATTATTAAATTAAATAAAATCATTTTTCTTTAAAATAGTTTATGGGATTTATTTGTTTATTTTATTTCCATAATAAAAAAGATAAGATTAAATAATTCTTCCTTCAATCAAAATACAATTACTTAAATATAAACATTCGGTTGCATATATGGATGTTGAAATTTAGAAATTGACTGGAACCGTTGTGGTAGTGTGACTGATTGTTGGAAATAACTATCGTCTTCAACAGGTCTAAACATAAGTTTATAAACTGGAGAACTTCTTCCTTGTTTCATTGTTTCAGTTATATTTCCTTGGTATTTACTTTCAATAGATTTATTATCACTATTATCAATAAGTGTTGAAATTTGAGGTTGATTATTTGATTGAACTTGATTAGAAATAGAATGTGAATCTAGTTCTTTCATTCTTTCACTTGTAATATCATAAATTCTATCTATCATTGGTGGATTTATTTCCATTGAAATATTAGAAGATGGAATTTTAGAATAATCATTAAAATCATCATCTGGTATATATTTTGTAGTGTATGGATTTTCTAGTGGTAAATCAATAGGATCAAATGAAATAGTTTCAGGAATACCTAATTTTTGATTTTCTTTTAATGGAATTGTATTTTTAAAATATGGGACTTGTTGTAATATACTCATTAGAACTTCATTTCTTACTTCAATCATTGTAGTTTTATATGGACCTTTTTTAAATGTTTTGGTGATAACACTGTTAACAGCTCTTCCAATATTATTTATTTGTACAGTATCAATAATAATTTTTTCATTTAATAAAATATCAGTAATCTTTTCCATTCTCAATGTTTTAAAAGATGATTTAGTGTATCTTCTTTTTACCTTATAACCATGTTTTTCAACAAGTTGTAATAATCTGTTGAATGTTAGTGCAGCACGATTTATATCTTTATGTCTACGTGTTTGACGAATTTTCTTAATATTTGGAGCAGCACTTCTTTCTCCTTCATATCGTTTAGAACAAATTTCTTCTATTTCTTCACCAAAATTAAGTGATTTACCTTCATAAAATAATTCTGTTACTATTAAAAATTGTACTGTTTTAGCAGCAAGACGTTCTGGATGTTTAATTTCTATTGAATAACCTAAATAATTTAATAAAGCAATTAGTACTGCTTGTTGAACTGCTTCAAATGATTTTGACTCTCTTTTAATTTCAGTACTAGAGACTGATTTGACAAAACTAGACATAATTAATTAAAATTGAAATAAATGAATTTCAGTTCTTTTTGTATTATAGGTTTTTTTCTTCTTTTTTTTTTAGAACTTCCTTCACGAAATCTATTTTCAAAATTAATTTAATAATTTATTTTATTTATGATTTTCTTTTTTGGATATTTCTATTATTTCTTTTTTATTTTTGCAAACTGCTTTTTTTCTTGTTTAAAAAATACTTATTTTTGTTATTTTTTATAGTTTTTTCCTTTGGAAATTCTTCTTTTGAACAAAATTCTTTTAATATCATTTTAGGATTTCTTCCCGAAAATTTAGGTGAAAATTTTTAATAACAAGAATGTATTTATAGAATTGAGTGAAATAAGAGAAATAACAAGATTGTTCAAAGATTATTAATTTAAACTTGTATTGACAAATTGGAGGAATAACTACAATTTCAAAATGTGATTGTGTACGCATATTTGTATAATGTTTTTATCAATTAAAACAAAAAACAGAAATTAATTTAATTTAACTTGTTTTTTTTTTTTTATCTTTTTTACTTCATTAAAACTTAAATATTCATTGTTTATATTAAATGACTGAGACTTGTCTTTTTAATTGGTTAAAAGAAAAGTATCAAATTGAAATCAAAAAGACTAGTCTTAGTACTAACATTAATTATACTGATGAAAAGTTAATCCAAAGTTTACCCCCACAACCCAAATCTATTGATGACACAATTAAAAAATTATTTCCTAACGCACAATTATTTATAACTAATATACATAGATTTACAAAACCAATTTATTGCTATTCAATACTTGAAGGAAGTCAGTTTCAGTTAAATAGTAAATTTAGTTCTATGGTCAAATTCTCTTCTTCAAATAACAACTATCAAAACCTTTATCTATCATACAAGAAATCAACTATTCTTAAGAAATTGACACAAATGGCTAATAGACTAAATCAAAAAGCAGAAATTACAAATACTTCTATTCCAGGACTAGTAATAACATACCCTGAATTTTATATTCAGTTATCTATTGACAGATATGAAGGATATTATAACTATTTGTTATTTGAGTCTTATAAAAAATTACATCCATCTATTTCTTTATTATTTGAATGTGTTGATCTTATTCACCAAAACTTATTTCCAACAAACCAACACCTTTCAACATTAACAAGAGTTATGGTTGTTCATTTTCTTCACAACATTGGAATTCCTTCTCTTCAAGACATTACTCCTTGTAACTCTCCTAATCATATAATTCATACTTATAAACCATTATGTACTCTTCAAAAAGTAGAATGGAGTGAATGTCCTTATTGTGTCAATAGTCATATCCCAAAAGATCTTTCTCTTGGAAAGTTATTAAATCAATACCTGATTTATTACCTTAATTTTGATTATTCTACTCAACGAATAGTAACTTCTCCTTCTTTTTATGCTGATAAACCACAAATATCAACAAATATTGTTTTTTCAGTCCTTCCACCCTTTGTTCCATGGGTATTATTAAGTACAGCCACAACTACATTTGAATTACAAGATATGTTATTTATGTATAAAAGTGTTCAAAGATCTTTAACAACAACTGATAGTCAGTTTTCTTTATCTAACATTGAATCAGATATAATTGTCAGTGAAGTTGATGTATATGACACTGTTATGATTTATTCACTTCCTCAATATTTTCAAACTAAAACACTTCTTTCAATTTTAAATGAATCTGATATTAATGCTGAATTATTAATTTTTAATCCAACATATATATCTTCATTTTGTACAGAGTCTGGAGTTATATTTCTTCATTTTTCTTCAATTCAAGAAGCTACATATTTCCATTGGATTCTTCCATTTCCATTTAAACGTTGTTATGTTTCTTCATCAATATTTGAGTCAAGGCCAAATGGTTCATTTTATATAAACACACGTGACCCATTACTGTTTTGATAATTGATTTATAGTTTTCGTGTCATTATTCATGTTTAATAAAGTTTTGGTATTTAATATTATAAGATAGTAACATTTTAAATATTTTTCTTTTATTTAGGAAGAACCATTTTATTTGATAAGATTCTCTTGTGGAATAAAGAAATTTAAAATATTAAGAGTTTTATAAGTAAGTCAATAAAATTCAAAAACATACATCTTTCCAAATTAATTCAATTAGAAGTTATATCAATAAAAATTTAGAATAAAATTCAAAACAAAAGTTTGGAAGAATAAAAAAAGTTTGGTGATTTTAGTATAAATTCTCAGACAAAAATTATCTTAATAATTCTTTCAAGTGAAGGAATAGGTTATTAGTGATAATAAAATTTTAAATTCCTTTTCATTCGTATTAACAAAGGTTAGTATAATTTTTATACAAATAATAGAAAGAAAAAGATAATTATTATATTATACTAAAACATGTTTTTTTTTCTTTCTTCAAAAATAATAATAAGAACTTTTAAGAATTAATTAGATATGAGTGAGTCAAGTGATAATGAAATGAATGAATGGGAATTAAATGTATTAAAGAATGGAATGCTTGGAGAAAAAAAGCAAGAGAATATTATAACTTTGAAAAATGCACAAATGAAAGAATCAGTACAGAATTGGGATGATATTTTAAGTTATTTTGATAATAAGATTGAAAGATATAATCAAGCCAATAAAAACTCTCAACAAAACATTGAAAGTTGTGTTAATCAAATAAAAAAAACTCAGACTCATTTAATTCAAAGTGAAAATAAATTACAAGAATTGACACAATTATCCCAACAACAAGAACTAGTAAAAGAAATCATCCATAACGTCAAAATACCAACAGAGAAAAAAATAACAGAGTTAGATGTATTAGAAAAGAAAATGACTGTGATTTAATGTAATAGTAATTTTTGTGATAAAATAAAGTTTTTAAATATCATTTAATTTTAAAGTCCTTCATTTATTTAACTTAAACAAACAAATTATAAATGAAAGATAAATTAGTTTTTTATTAAAGAAGTATTATTGTAAGTACTTACTACGGGTGTTTTTTGTTCTATTAAAACAATAAAAAAAATAAAAAGAAATTAAAGAGAAGTTAGTTAATAAACTATTGTTAAATTCATTTAAAGATGTTAATTTATGTTAATTAATCATCGTACTTCTCTAAATCATTTCAACTTTTTAAATTAAAACAAAAAAAGTTTGTTTTTAGTTGAATTAATAAATCGTAAATTTTTGAAGTATAAGTTTTAGATAATCACAACATCACTTGGTTCTTCGAGTTCTTTCATTGTTAAAGGGTCTAAATCTGTTAATGTTTCAACATTGTTTTGTGACTCTACATCATTATAATAATTCACTACAAATTCTTTGATATCTTTGTAGTAACAACTAGCAATAATAATTGCCAATAATACTGAAAGCCAATCAGAAAGAATAGCAATTGCTAAGGATAAGAATGAAGATTGTTATTAACAAAATGAATAAAAACACAAACTTCCATTTAAAATTAATTTACAAAGTAATGTCATAATAAGACCTACAGTTAGTATTACTTTTACTGATTGTATTCTTGACCTAATAAATGACATAGTAAAAGGGCATAGTCTTACAATATAGTAATAAGTACCAACGTGTATAATATAGCATATTAATGAAAGTGTATGAAAAATATTCTTTAATGAAGCATTTTGTATAAAAATTTCTATCAATAAAAGAGTTCCAACACAAAATAAAGCAATTGAACTTCCTTTACAAGGAACAACAACAGGATTAACCATAGCAACAAAATGAGGTATAAAGATAAAATGAATGAGGTATGATAACCCAAATATTAATGGAATAATAATAATAAGTGAAAAAATGAATAAACTATTATATAATATTGATTCACTAACTACTTGTGTGAGTTCTTTTTGTGTTATGCTATGTATGTTTGGTAATATAACTAAAAGGAAGAATATACAAATTGAACTAATTAATAGAAGTGGAATATTTTTAATAATAAATTTCCAATTCATTATTATTTAAAATGAATAATTAGTTATAAAAATTTTCATTTTTATTTTTTCAAGTTAATTTATTTAAATAAATTGTTAAAATTTAGTAAAAGAACTATAAAAAAAAAAGAAAAATTTACCGTTTTTTATAATTAAAAAAAAAATATAATAATTTTTATTCCATGTACTTTACCAATTCAATAAATATTTTTGATTAACATCGATCATTTTGCAAAACATTATTATGAGTTAATATTTTTTTTTAGTTGTGAACTCTTTTTAAAGTAGTTTTCTTTTTTGATTGTTTTCCATTAATCTTCTTTTGCAATTTTTCTTTTAATTTTTCTTGATATCTTTCTCTATTTTTTTCTTTTTTAATACGTGAACGTTCTTCAATAAATTTCTTTTTCATAATTTTTTCTTGGTCTTTCACTTTTCCTTCTTTGGGTCTTTTTTTTTCATTTCTTATTTGTTTCTTCTGTGCACCTTTTTCTTTATTGGTTTTTTCTTTTATCTTTTTATTAGTTAGTAGTGATATTTTACTATTGTTTTCTAATGAACTATTCGTTGTATTTGTAGTATTAGTTAATAAAGATGTTTTATTGTTTTCATGTTTTTCTGAATGTTTTTTAGTAATTGCTTTCTTTTTCTTTTCTATTATTTTCTTTTTTTTAGAAATAGGGTCTTGAGTGATGATAGTGTTGTTAGTGATTTCTTCAATACCATTATCAATAGTATTATTTTCACTTCCTTTCAATTGATTTTTGTGAATAAGTTGATGTTTTTTATATTTTTTTATATTTTGTTGAGTATCATTTGTTTTTATTGTATTTGTTGAATGTTTAATTTGTATTGTTTGATTATCTTTCCTTTTTTCTTTAAAACTTGTCTTATGTGTCTTTGTGTTTTTATTTTGAATAAACTCTTTTGATTCTTTAGTTGAGTTATTTTCAATAGTACTACAGTTGGTTTCATTACATATTAAAGCATGACAAAATATAAAAAGAAATGAAAGAAGTATTAAATATTTCCACAACATTCGATTGAATACTATTTAGTTCTTGTAAAACCTCAATAAATTTCTTTTAAATTTTTTTTTTTGTTGTTGTTTAAATTTTTTAAAAATGTTAAATCTTCTCTTTTCGTTTGTTTTTAATATGAACTTCAATTTCTTTTAGTTCATGTCTTCTGAAGAAAGTATTACCTTATCTTCATGTTCTTCTACATCAACTGCATATTCAGAACAAATTCAATTAGCAATTGCTGAAACAGACACTTTTGGATTCTTTTCATTTGAAGTTGATCCATTATTCCTTGTTGCACAATACCTACAAACCGAGTCAGATTTTATCAATTTTATTCAAATATCCAAAAGGTTTCAAGTTGTTCTCAGTTATTTTCAATCAAATCCAATTTCAGTTAATTCACTTCGTTTATTTCCTCAAATAAAAACCCAATATCTCTTCAATAAGAATGACAAAAGAATTAAAGGGGTTTCTAAATATGTATATCGTTGTCTATTAACACATACTGAAGCTAAAAAATTAAATAGGTCTAATGTTTCTTTTAAGAGAGTTGTTTTTAAAAAAGATAAAAATGCAAAGAAACATCATATTCCTAAATTAACTACTGACCTTGCTGATTGTTGTTTTACTAAAAGTGTTTATCTTAAAAGTATTTTAATTCCATCAACAGTAACTTTACTTGGTTCAGATTGTTTCTTAGATTGTTCTTCATTAAGTAAATTAGTGTTATGTTCTTCATTGATTCATCTTGGTATTTCTAGTTTTGAGAATTGCAAATCTTTAAGACATGTTGTATTACCTTTATTAATAAAGGAAATCCCAGACAATTGTTTTAAAGAATGTACTCAATTAAAAGATGTTGTTCTTCCTTCTTGTATAACTAGAATTGGACATTCTTCTTTTGAAAATTGTTTGTCATTAACTGAAATTATTAACACTTCAAATATTATTGAATTGGGTCAAGAAGCATTTAAAGGATGTCATTCTTTGAAACAACTTCACTTTTCATCTTCTCTAAATTATATTGGTGTGTCTTGTTTTGATGATTGTGATTTGGTTAAAATCAACCCACCCCCTCTAAGTTCCTTAAAATGTATTACTAATAAACAAAGTTTGGATAATAAAACTCCTTCTTCTAACCATATTGTATTAACTTCTGATGACTGCATTGAAATAATGGAAGAAATTCCATTAACAATAAATGTTATTGGAAGGAGTGCATTTAAATATATTATGCCATCTCAACTTATTTTACCAAATAGCATAACTCGGATTGAATCTAATGCATTTTATCAATGTACTCTTTTAACATCAATAATTTTTTCAACATCATTGAAAGTCATAGAGTCTCGAGCATTTATGGGATGTTCACATTTAAAATCTATTTCACTTCCAGCTTCTATACAGTTTATTGGAGATGAAGCATTTAATAATTGTTATGAACTAACTTCAATTGTAGTAGAAGGTTTTCCATGTATTGGATATCATGCCTTTTCTCATTGTAATGAACTTCAAAACATTATTATTCCACCATTCTCTAATCAAAATACTAATGACATCTTTTTTGGTATTAAAATACCTTCAAAACCTTGTTGTATTGTTTAGTGCTAATTTATTAATAAAAGTTCAATTACATTTGGTCGAGCTGAGATAAAACCTTCTGCATTTCAGCTTGAACTTGTGCAGCAACTTGTGGATTGCTTGATGTTGAATTTGTCAAGTTTTTCCTTACATTTTCTGAGACTAATTTGATATTACATTCATTTGGTTTAATGACTTCAATAGAATCAGGAGAATTATTAATGATAATAACTCCATGATTTTCAATTTCAGTCACATCAACTCCATTTTCGTTTAGAGGTTTTCTGATTAATTCAGTTTGTTCTTCTTCTAATTTCTCCATTGAAATTAAGTTCAAAAGTTTTTATAAAAAAAAAACAAACAAATATTTTTTATTAAATAACCCTTTCAGTTTTTTATTGTTTTCTGATGTTTTTAATAGTTATTATGAATCAGATATGAGTTATACTGAACGAAGATACCACAAAGATAAATTAAAATCAAATACTACTCTCAACGTTGGAGAATTGACTGCTTCTAGAATTGAAGAAATAAAGAAGTTTACTGATCAATTAAATGTTTATTCAGGTAACCGAACAGTACATCAAGCAGTTCCAAGACATCTTAGAAGAAGACAAGCTTCACATTTTTGTCATGTACTTCCTCACAGGTTTATTGCCAATGCATTAAGAGAGAAAAAAAAGAATGAAAAAGAAATGAAAGACAATAAAACTTTAGCACAGAAGATGCAAAAAAAGATTAGAAGATCAAGAAGGTCATTAAGAAGAAACTTCAAAGAATATTCATGGGGAAAAAATCAATATTTGATGACACATACTTGGCATGCTAAAAGGTGTCATATGAAAGAAATGTGGGGTGTTAAAATTGCTGATGAAAGAAATGACAAAGGATTAAGAGTATTATTAAACGCAGCTGAGAAAAGAAGTGTTGTTTATGACCAAAGTTATTATGTTGAGTATGAATTAGAAAATAATCAATACAATAGAGAAGTATGTATGAAGGTATTACAATTAAATGAAATTATTAATAAAAATGAATGGAGAATGTGGATTGCAAATACTACAAAATTTGGACCAATTAAAGTACTTTTAAATGAAAAACGAATTGTCATTTTTGTGCATCCAGTGAGTAAAACAGATATTATGAAAGCATTTGATAAAGAAAAAATTCAGTTAAAATTAATGCAAAGGTTAGGAGTGTTTGAAATAATTGGAGGCAATTCTCATCGTTCATTACTAAATTCTTTTGACTTTGTTGAAGAAGATAAAGGAGTAGAAGTTTTGAGAAG